TTGGAACGAGGTTTGATATACTTTTTGATCGAAAGCGGAATTTGGAAGTTTTGAAAATTCATAGGCTTGAATCTGAGGGTGATTTGGTGTTCTGGCATTCTTTGGAGTGTTCCGAGGGTTGGAACAAGTTTGAATAGCGTTATGTGACTTGTTAGCGTGTTTGATTGAGGTCCCGAGGGCCTTGGGGTGGATTTGGATGGTTGACGGAAGAGTTGGAGATTGAATGCTGCTGGAGAATTTTCTGCTCCTGTTGTTTCCGCACCTGCGGATTGGGGACTGCAGGTGCGATGCGCAGATGCATAGAGGAGGCCGCAGAAGCGGAGTTTGGCCAATTGGAGCTTAGCCGCAGGTACGGTGCATTGGGCGCATCTGCGGGACCACAGGTGCGGTTCGTGGATGTAGATGTGGCCCTGTGGGACTTAAGTGAAAACCGCAGAAGCTGTTGGTTGACCGCAGAAGCGGGAAAAGGGCCGCAGGTGCAAAATCCATGGGCCAAAATCTATATAAGGTTTCCTTCGCAATTTTCAGCTTTGTTTCACCATTTCTATGTCGGATTGAGAGCTTTTTAGGAGATTTTGAAGAGGGAATTCAAGGGAAATTGTGAAGGTAAGATTCTTGGAACTAAAACTCGTTTCTATGGTGTTATTTCACTGATTAGACGTGGAATTTATGGAAATTTGTGGTTAAAATTAGGGGAGTTAGGGCTTGAAATTGGAGACCTTGATTTAGGGATTTGAGGGACCATTTGTGGTCGGAATTTTATGTATTTGGTATGTATGAACTCGTGAGAGCATAAGGATTTTAGTTATGTGATTTTTATCGGAATTCGAGACGTGGGCCCGAGGGTCCGGTTTTGCTAATTTCGGGATTTTTTATTTAAATTGGTTATTTTCTAGTGGGCCTTGTTCCCTTAGCATATTTTGATGGTATGAATCTGATTTTGGCTAGATTTGGAGCATTCGTAGGCCAAGTCGACATGCAAAGGCATCACGGGCTAGAGTTGGACCAGATTGAGGTATGTAATGATTGTAAATGTTGTCCTGAGGGTATGGAACCCGGATTTCACATCATTGTGCTACTTTGACGTGACGCACACGCTAGATGTTAAGTCACGTATTTGATGGAAAACTGTTTGATATCATTGTGTTTTGGAAAGTATTACCATGTTTTGGGCTTAATGCCACAGTTGGGTCTAGTGCCAATTGTTTTGGACCCTTAGGAGATTTTAATTACTATTCCGCACTATTTTGACTTCACATTTGTACTCAGTTATGTTGTATTCTATTATTTTAATAACTCAGCCGTATTTACTCCGTTTTGATATTTTAAAAATTATATTTTGAGCTGAGTATCATGTTTTATTGTTGCTCGAGTGGCTTGAGAGATTTCTGGCTGAGTGAGGCCGAGGGCCTGTGTTGTGAGGATATTATGGGATCGGGCTGCGCGTCGCAGCAGGTTGTACTGATTCATGATTATGAGGCCGAGGGTTTGATTTGTTATGTCACGAGGTGGATTGTTATGAGGTCGAGGGCCTGTTTGATTATGCCACGAGATGACTTGTTATAGCGCTTGGGCTGCAGGAGCCCCTCCGGAGTCTGAACACCCTCAGTGAGCGCGAGTACCCAGTGTGAGATGTGATATTGCCCGAGGGGTTGTTGTTGTTTCATGTTGTTGCCCGAGGGGCTAATTACGAGTGATTGTGAGGTAGTCCGAGGAGCTGGTTCTGTTGATATTTTGCTCGAGGGGCGGTTGTGGTACATGTTTTGCCCGAGGGGTTGTTTACGTTTCTAATCATTTACTCACTATTTTCGTCACTTGTTTGAAACTATTGAAAGACGTTTTAAAAGGTTTTTACTGAACTGAGTTATTTTCACGAGTTTTATTGCTTTACTGCATTGTTATGGACTTATACTGTTTTGATGTAGGGTTATGACGCGGCTTACGTGTTTTCTTACTGCTCTGCTGCCTTTACTTTTATTACTTACTAAGTTGGCGTACTCACATTACTCCTTGTACTTTGTGTGCAGATCCAGGAGCCTCGGGTCGCGATAGCGAGTGCTGATTAGCCTTCCAGCAGATCTCCGGAGCTGACTAGGTAGCTGTTTGGCGTTTGCAGCCCAGTGCTTCTCCTTCCTATCTTATTCAGCTTTGTATTAGCATTTATCTTTCAGACTATGTTGTCCTTTTACTTATTTCGAGACGAGTTGTAGTTGCTCATGACTGGTGACACCCCGATGTCGGGCTGTGTTGTGTTTTCGCACTGTTTGTTTTAACTTAAATTATGGGATCTCAACTAATTAATGACTTTAAATGATTTATTATAAATATTTGGTTGGTTTTGGAGTTTGTGTTGGCTGGCCTAATTTCACGATAGGTATCATCACGACCAGGTCCGTTTTAGGGTCGTGACAGTTATGATCGTGCCACTTTGACATTCCATATATAAACTTTCGATCATTTAAATCCACAACATAATAAGAAAAATAGACTTTTAATTACTTTTTATCCACGACAGGACTCCTATTCCTATCATTTTATAGGCAACTTTATTAAGTACTTAATTTAATATATGGTGAAGCTAGCGTCATAAATATATAACAATTCTAACATGAAGAGTCATAAATTAATTTAATTATTTCCTTATATTCATTTGTTATTTGTAAGAAATAGAGTTTTGGTGGCAAATAAAATCTTATAGGATTATAAAAGTGCACCTGTCTATAAATGAATTTCACCAATGTACGAAAAAAATAAAAAAAATAAAAACCTCCTTAAGATCATGCTCGATAGTTTTCAAATTATGTTCTTTTTAAGTTATAATTTTTTTTTGATAATTTACATAAGGTAAGGTTGCACATAGTTGATTGATGTGCGATTAATGATCTAATTATTTTCTTATTTTTCCATAAGTTTGTTGATTCATGACACAACGATTCATGCCACAAATGTTTAGCTTCGTGCTGCTAATTTGGTTTTAATCTTCACAGATCTATTAATATACATATCTTTACTGGTACATCTTTATATATTCACACACACCTACCTTTATGCGTAGTGCATTAGGCCAATCAATGAAGCTGATCGTCAAAAGCAACTTCAAAATATTTATCATCGATTATTAAACCCCTACTTGCAATAATCTTACATAAAATTATATATAAACAAAGCTAATATACTACCAAGGATAATATTAGTTGTGGTAGATCCCTAATAGGGAATATTAGTTTTCTTCCACTCTTTTTTCTCTAATATTACAGAGACGAACCAACAATTTTGCTAAAAGAAATTGTGGAATATGGTTTCTTTCTAACTTCTTTTTATAATATAAGTAAAATTTGAAAGACTTGTATGGACCTTTAATGAGATAGTTTTTTTTTCTTCATTCAGTTGGATATTTTGGGTGCATAATAGTTTTCTAACTTATAAAATATAAATTACACAGTATTTAAAGTTGGTAAGTTGCTTCGTTCATGATTAATATCTATAATTCTCTTTAAAAATGATAATTCTATAGCTTCGTAGAAAGAAAAGAAAAGGCTAAGCAAAGGTGTTTTGGATTATTCAGTTGTTAGTAAGCAATTTATTATATTTTTCGCACAACTTTTACAAAGAATAGAAAATCATATGCCAATCTCAAAGGAAAGCCTTTATATATTTTCTTCGAATTGAGTTTTGTCATATCATGTGAACTTGTTTTGTTGACTACTTTTGACATTCTAAAGTATGATAATATGATATGAATTCGGTTTCAGACTTTTATTTGTGATGCAATACTAATTTACTTTGGATAATGTCAATTATTATGAGGAAATACTAGGCTAAATATATTAACTCTAGGAATCAAGCACGCAATTTTATGTGTGAGATTTCAATGTAATTACTATAATTATAAATATTACATAAATAATTTAAATAAATACATCATCTTGAAGATATTTAATTTGTCTAATTCATTTGCATTGTTTAAAAAAATATTGCAAGTATTTTGTTGCAACAGCGCTTTGTGTTACCACATTTTATTTTTCTTGTACATTTTTTATTTATTGACGCAATACATACGTGCAACGCACGTACACTAAAACTAGTTTAATAAAAAATAAAATAAAGATGAAAATAATTTATTTTATTATCATATGATGTGTCCTTTAATTTTATATAAATTTTATTATATTTATGCACATTGCATTACAATATAAAATAGCAACTAAATTTTATTAAAACAATATGATATACTTGTCATATTATAATTTCATAACACTAATACTCTTTCAAAATATCCGTGCATCGCATAGATTCAAACACTAGTTGTTAAAAAATTAAAGAATTTATTGAAAATTAAAAAACTTTGAGAAAATGATTAGTCCTAGGAAAAGCTATTTTTCCATAAGCTACGTTTTGGACTTCCGAAACTCAAATTTTTTGTAGCCTTTTGCATAAGGGAAATTTTCGTTCCTATACCATATAGGAAACTATATTACCAAATAAGTTCATAGTTTGTATATTACTCGTCATGCTAATAGTATTTCTATAAAATATAGACAATTCATTAAATAAGGAATCATTGTAGTTGTATGCTTCCTTATTTAGGCGCGCTAATATTGGAGAATTAAATATTCTTCCAGATATTTTACAACGCAAATCACGCATTAATAATTATCGGTTGTTTCGAATCAAAATTTAGCGACTCTGTTTTTGCGATATACTGTGTTCAACATTTTTTCTGGTCTCACAAATCAAAAACAACTAAATCTTCTACAATTCTTCTACAACAAACGCAATTATGTCCAAAATCCCAATTATGCTACAACTGAATGGGAATTGGGATAGCTATGGGAGATTTAGAGAATTTCACGTTGATGGCATTGTAGTCGATGAAGATGTGAGTTATATTCTATTGATTTCTACAATAACACAACAATTAATGATCGACATCCGAAAAAATTATAGAAATCAAATACATTGTCAACGAGCATTATCCTCCAATGGAAATTAGGAACGATATGGGTGTTCGTGTATACATGGACATGAAAAAGGAAAACAAAAACTTAGGATCATATCCGCTATATATAACTATTCGCGATTTCAATATGAAATTGGGTATCACCAATGAGAACACAGTTGCAGGTTTGTGCTATTATATTTTCTATCAAATTCTGGTTGTATATCAATGTCCTACACTTTATCTATATTTTATCTATAAATAAACTACATGTCAGAGTAAATATATATATCAGTATGGATTTTCACAATATCTACAAAATTGCTACATTTATTCTACAATAAAACTACATATCATTTGAAAAATTAATATGAAATGCAGAATTTCAATGGTTCTCCAAATTATCTACAAAATTCTACAAACTGTTCATAATAATACTTATCTTTATTTTTATGCAGGTTCATCTGGAACACTAAAGTTACTTGATATGCCAACATCTCCCGCTATAGAGGAATATGAAAGTATAATAATAACAGATAGTACACCAAGTTTTATTGAAGTAGGACAAGTATACCAAGACAAGCAAACAATTGCAACTGCAATGAAGCACTATTCTGTCATGCACAAGATTCAATTCAGGGTTAAAAGATCTAGTGCTAGAAGGTATGAACATATGAATGGTCAAAGATCATTATTTTTCTAATTTTGTAGTTTATTTGTAATTTTTTTACTTCTTCAGTTTTTCCTTGTGATAATGTTTATCAATATTGTAGATGAATTGTAGTTATGTTGTATATAAATTGTATAATGTGATCGTTTAAGCTAAAACAATCTTTTTTTTAAATCTACATTTTAAACCAGTGTTTAAATTGTATTTATTTTGTAGCTACTGGATATTATGTGTTGGTGAAAACTGTACATGGCACTTCAAGGCAACTAGCATAAATGATTCTGCAATGTTCAAGGTCAGAAATTTCAACAGCCAGCACACATGCTCTTTAATGCACAATACATTCATACAACGCAAACCTACTGTCATGGTAGTTGGTAGCATGGTTATTCCAAAATATTCTGATCCTAAGACAATTTACACACCAAAAGACATACAAACTGACATGTTGTCTGAACACGGCGTGAATCTAACCTACATGCAAGCTTGGAGAGCAAAGGAAAAGGCTTTACAGCTTTTGAGAGGTCATCCTGCTGACTCCTACATCAAATTGCCTAGTTATTTGTATATTTCGGAGAAGACTTATCCGGGGTCTGTAGTTAAATTGAAGAAGACGGACGATGCCTATTTCTTGTATGTATTTGTTGCGATTTGTAGGTCAATCAGTGGTTGGAAATATTGTAGGCCAGTTGTAGTAGTTGATGGGACCTTCTTAAAGTCAGCATACAGGGAAATAATGCTAACAACTAGTACAATGGATGCAACAGGTATTGAAGTTTTATTGTAGAAATATTGTATCTTGTCTATTTTTTGTAGTACTAGTAGATTTATTGTAGAAAATTTGTAGTGTCACGACCCTAACCCAGACACGATCGTGATGGCGCCTCCCGTGAAGACAAGTCCAGCCGGCACTTCCCATTTTCCAATTTTTAACAGTTAAGTATTTAAGAAACGGTCTAAACATGATAAAAAAAATCTGAAATAACTATGATAACATAAATATGTGGAAGAACATCCATACATCGCCCTAACTGGGGTGTCACTAGTCATGAGCATCTATAAGTCATAATACAAATCCGCTAAGTCAATAAACTAGTACAACTGTCTAAAAAGATATAAAAGTGATAAAGGAGTAGAGACACGAGGCTGCAGACACCAATAGCTACCCCGTGAACTCTGAATGTCCGCCTGAAGCTGGAGGGATCAGCACTAGGGAGCGGAACCAGCTACGCCTGAATCTGCAAACAGGGTGCAGGGAGTAAAGTGGGTACTCCAACTCAGTGAGTAACAAATGTAAATAACGACTGAAAGTAATAAAACACGCAAGGCGCAAGGCATTCTATAATGAAGCAGTAAAACCATTTAAAAGAAGTAAACCAGTGAAAAGTTAAGTAACAATCCTTTTTCAACAAGTAAATTAGTAATTGACAGTCAATTATGAAAAATAAACACATAAAGGCTCGCCCCTCGGGTACAATATCAACAAATCCGCCCCTCGGGAAACATCTCAGAACGGTACCAGCTTCTCGGGCTCAAATCTCACATCACAATATCAGCCCCTCGAGCTCAATCTCACATCACAATGGGTACCCGCGCTCATTGGGGGTGTACAGACTCCTGGAGGGGCCTCTTACGGTCCAAGCGCAATATCAAGCCACCTCGTGGCATCATCACTAGGCCCTCGGCCTCTTATCAAACCAGCCACCTCGTGGCGTACATATCTCAGGCCCTCGGCCTTATAATTAGTGTTAAATGTTTCCTCACAACATGGGCCCTCGGCCTTATTCAGTCAAAATCCTCACAAGCCACTCGGGCAATAGTAAAATAAGATTCTCAACCCAAAATATCATTTAAAAGATCATGTAAGTGTTAAAACAGAGTAAACATGGATGAGTACGAAAAAAGTGAAATATAACATGACTGAGTTCAAGTGTAAAGTCAAAACAGTGAGAAAAATACCAGTAAAATCCTCGAAGGGTTCAAATAGTTGGCACAAGGCCCAAATATGGCATTCCGCCCAAATAATGATGAAAACAAGTAGATTTCAGTCAAATACGCGGTAAAATCATCAGTTGAGATAGATCAAGTCATAATCCCCAATAGTGAACGACCCCACACTCGTCATCGAGCATGTGCCTCACCTCAATATAGAACTACGATGTGCAAATCCAGGGTTTCAAAGCCTCAGAACATCATTTAAAATCATTACTCAACTCGAACCGGTCAAGTCTCTAGCTCCCGATGCCTTTGCCCCTCGAATCGGCCTCCACTCGCATCGAATCTATCCAAAATCAGAATGAGGACGTCAAAATATGCTAAGGGAATGAAACCCAAGCGAAAACAATCAATAAACGACACAAATCCCGAAATTGCCAAAACCCGACCCCCGGGCCCACATATCGGAATTCAATAATTTTTACATCAATAGATTCTTTATCTCCCCACGAGTTCATACATATCAAAAGTTCTCAAATCTGACCCCGAATGGTCCTTCAAATCCCCGATTAAAGGTCTAAGTTTCCAAGCCCTAGTTTCCCCAATTTTCACCCTTAATTTCCATGATTTCTAGCTCTAATCCATGTAATAATAGCATAGGAATGAGTTTTAGGTCTAAATTCCTCACCTCAATGAATTTCCCATTAAATCCCTCTTTCAAATCGCCCAAAAAACTCTCAAACTGAGGTCAAAAATGGTGAAATAGCTCAAATTCGCAAAATGAAATAACTTATATGTTCTGACCAGACCTTTTTGCATCTGCGGCACAATACCCGCTTCTACTGTACCGCATTTGTGGTTAAATCCTCCGCTTCTGCGGAAATCACTTATCCAGCCTAAATCGCATCTGCGACCACACTTCCGCATCTGCGACATCGCAGATGCGGTCACCTTACCACTTCTACGGTCTCTGCTCACCTGACCCTTTTTCGCTTCTGCGATAGACCTCTTGCACGTGCAGCGCCACACTTGTGATCCCCAATCCGCAGGTACGAAAATACCAGAAGCAGCAATTCAGCAGCTGCAACAACAATCCAAACTTCCCGTTAACCATCCGAAATCTTCCTGAGGTCCCCGGGACCTCAACCAAAAGCACAAACATATCCTAATACCTTATTTGAACTTGTTATAATTATTAAAACACCTCAAACAACATCAAATCACCCAAAACATATCGGATTCAAGCCAAACTTTCTAAAATCTTCCGAATTTCGCTTTTGATCAAAAACCTAATCAAACCACATCCGAATGACCTGAAATTTTGCACACACATCCCAAATGATACAATGGAACTACTGCAGCTCTCGGTATTCCATTCCGACCCCTATATCAAAATCTCGCATACCAACCAGAAATCGCCAAAATATCAACTTCGCCAATTCAAGCCTAAATCTACTCTGGACCTCCAAAACCTATTCCGATCGCACTCCTAAGTCCCAAATCACCTCCTTAAGCTAACCACCACCAGAACTCACAGACAATCCCTCTAATACATAAGTCAACATCCGGTTGACTTTTCCAACTTAAACTTCCTTAAAGGAGACTAAGTGTCTCAAATCTTACCAAAATCATTCCGGATTCGATCCAACCAACCTGATACCACAAAACACGAATGAACAAAGCATAAAAAAGCAGAAATAGGGAAAACAGAGTAGTAATTCATGAGACGACTGGTCGGGTCGTCACATGTAGTTTGTATGTATATGTCTTCTTCTGCATTTTTCCTACAGCCAATTAATTGCTTTTTGCCTCATAATGTAGGTACCATATTACCATTGGCATATGCTGTTATTGATTCAAAAAATGATGCATCATGGAAGTGATTTTTTGAGCAATTCAAACACGGATATGGTGAAAGACCAAATATGTGTGTTGTTTCGGATCGGAATGAGAGTATCTTGAAGGCAACATCTATTGTTTATCCCGACATGCCACATTATTCTTGCATGTGGCATATTTGGAAAAATATAAGGGCAAAGTTCAAGAAGGGACATCGAAAGTTAAGCGAATTGTACTTTGCCACGGCACAGTCATACACACTTGATGAAATTAATGAAAGGATGTCAAAGATTGAAGAGATTGACCCGCGTGTTAAAGCATACTTATATTGGCTATCATAGATGGTCTCGAGTATATGCTACGGTGAACAGAAGTTGGACTATGACATCAAACATTGCAGAGTCGTTGAATGTTGTAACAAATAATGTAAGAGAACTGCCGATAGTAGAACTATTAGAGTATATGAGGACTCTTCTTGGATGTTGGACGAAGGAAAAGTTATTGAAAGCAAAGGGTACATTCACATACCTTGGGTTTAAATTCAACAAAGAGTTGGATGACAACAGAACATTGTCGCACAAGCTTAGAGTAAGATCTAATCATTTATTGCATCAAATTAATTTATACATGACAATGTAGATAATTTGTAGATATTTTGTAGATCTTTTGTATTTAACCATATATGAATTATTTTTTTGTTTGTAATGTAATTGTATGTGAGGGATTCAACAGACCACATCCATACAGTACTAGATGGTGTGAGGTGCTATATTGTTTGTCTTGAAAACAAGAGATGTAGTTGTGGGCAATTCCAGCTTGATGAACTTTCTTGTCCACATGATTTGGCTACTTTAAGACACATGCATGAGTCTTTTGAACAATATTGTTCTCCTTATTACACAAGGGAAAACCCCTTGCGTACTTATGAAATACCAGTAAATCCCCTGCCTGATGAAAATAAATAGAATGTGCCACAACATATATCTGAAGAAGTAGTAAATCCACCTACAGGAGGGAAAAGGAAGCCAGGAAGACCTCAAAAAGAAAGATACAAAACATATGATGAAATAAATTTAAAGAAGTACAAGGTTTCATGTGGAAACTACGGAGGAGAAGGGCATTGTGATGACCCAAAAGGTCATCACTTGCTATGAATTAAATTCTGTATTTCCGAGGCCTTGAAAACCTCTTCACCTTGATTTGCATACATAGTCCGGGCACATACACGGAAAGCTTAAATGTGAAATTCTGTGAAAAATGATAAAATTTTGTTATAGAATAAGTTAATTTGACCTCGGTCAATGTTTTGGGAAAACGGACCCGGACCCGTGATCTAATGATCCCGGAGGGTCCGAAGGAAAATATGGGACTTGGGCGTATGCCCGAAATCAAACTCCGAGTCCCAAGCCAAAGAAATGAATTTTTAAAGGAAATTGTTTTCTAAAATTTGTTTAAGGAAAATTGAAATGAAATTTGATTAGACATGATGGTATCGGGCCCGTATTTTTGTTCCGGTGCCCGGTACAGGTCTTATATATGACTTAAGACGTTTTTGTGGAATTTGGTGAAAAATGGATGTCATTTGACGTGATTCGAACTTAAATTGCAAAAATTGATATTTAAAGAAGTTTTGAGAAAATTTCATTGATCTTGAGATTTAATTTGATGTTCGTGATGTTATTTTGATGATTTGATTACACGAATAAATTCGTAAGATGTTTTTGAAGTTTTGTGTACACATGGTTTGGAGTTCCGAGGGCTCGGGTGAGTTTTGGGTAGGTTCCGGGGTGTCTTAGGCCTAAAAAAACAGCTGTTGCAGGCTCAGAGAGGTGGAAGGCCTCTGAATAGACCAGTGCGGTTCGCACAAAATGGAGTGCGGTCACGGAGGGGCCTGTGCAGCCATACTAGATTCTGTGCAGTCCACGGTGAAAAACAGATTCACTGGTCCGATTTCGGTAGTCTATATCTTTTGATCTACAAGGAATTTTGAGATGATTCAAAAACGAAAGTTGTAGACCTTCGTGTCTAGTTTCCAGAAAGGTAAATAAGTCATAAATTTGGACATCTGTAGAGAAAGTTATTTCCAAAATACTAAGACCTGTCACTACAGAATACAGGAAGCCTGTGCGGCCGCGGTTGATTTTGTGCGGTCCGTACAGGGCATCTAAGGGTAGTGTATTTAGACGGCATTTTCAGTTATTTTTCAATTTTTAAGACCCCACTAACATAAGAGGTGATTTTTCAAATAATATTTCTTCTCCAAATCAATTGTAAGTCGTTTTAAACTAGTTTTTTTCAATTATTAACATCTTTTAACATGATTTCAACTTCAAATCAATGATTTTCATGGGGGAAATTATGTGTTTTGGGTAGAGCCTAGGTTTTTCAAAAAGTTGGGATTTGGACCTTGATTTGAGGTCCGATTTCAAAACAAATTATATATTTGAGTTCGTGGGGAAATGGGTAATCGGGTTTTGGTTTGAACCTCGAGTTTTGACCACGTAGGCTCGAGGTCGATTTTGACTTTTTGGGTAAAGCTTTGGAAAACTCATTTTCATGCATTCAAATTGATTTATTTAGCATATATTAATGTAATTAAGTAACATGTGGCTAGATACAAGCGAATTGGCGGTGGAATAAAGGGGTAAAGCTATAATTGAATCGTGAATTGTGTCTGTGGCATCGAGGTAAGTGTCTGGTCTAACCTTAGCTTGAGGGATTAGGAGTTGTGTCCTATTTTCTATTTTCTTCTTGTTGAGTATGACGTATAGGCATGGTGACGAGTATCTATACATTGGTATCAAACATGACCGTGAGTCTTATATTGTGATTTTCATAATTACGTTGTATTATTCATGCCTTGGTGAAGATTTCTAATTGTTGTATAAAGTTTGTGAAAAGAATTGTGACCTATGAACATTGAGAAGCGTTGGCTCAAGTTGTATAGTGAAATTGTGAAAGTATAAGTGACAATTGAACTTTTAGAGCATTGGCTCGAGTTGTAAAATGAGTTGTGAAAGTATAAGTGATAACTGAAACTCTAGAGCATTGGCTCGAGTTGTGACGTGAATTGTGAAGTAAGAGTGAGAAAGATAAGAGATCATTATGTTGCCCCCCTTGTCGGGCTATTATTGAATTGTGGTTCCTTTGCATTGTGTTCTTACAGATGCTTAGGTTGATGATTTTATGTGTTCGGTAGGGATTATGGGTATAGCTGAGGTAGTTAGGTGTCGGAATGAGGTTGGTTATAGCTGAGGTAGTTAGGTGTGGTAACGAGTTTAGTTATAGCTGAGGTGGTTAGATGTTGTAACGAGTTTGGTTATAACTGAGGTAGTTAGGTATGGTATCAAGTTTGGTTATAGATGTTTCTCCCTTGCCAGGACGTGATTTCTTTTGCTGTCAAATCCCTTGCCGGGACAGTGTAGACCTTATTGATCTCTTGTCGGGACTCTCGTTATAATTGTAAATATTATATATGGATCGGGTTGCACACCACAATAATATTATATATGGGTCGGGTTGCACGCCGCAACAACATTATATATGGGTCGGGTTGCACGCCGCAACAATATTATATATGGATCGGGTTGCACATCGCAACAACATTATATATGGATCGGGTTGCAAGCCGCAATGATATCATATGTGGATCGGGTTGCACCCACAACAATACTATATATGGATCAGGTTGCATCCCTCAACAACATTATATATGGATCGGGTTGCACGCCGCAACAATATTATACGTGGATCGGGTTGCACGCCGCAACAAAGATATAATAAAATGGGAACGGGTGGTACGCCTACCACAAGACAGGTGAAATGGGAGCGGGTGGCACACCTGCCACGAGATATGAAAAGAAAGTGAAATCTGCCTTTGGTCCTTTTTTCTTGTTAGTGGGTGGTTTTGATTCCTTAATAATTCTCTTGATATTCTATTTTACCTACTATTCCCCGAAGTATGTTTCCCCCTCCCAACTTTACTTGTTTATTTCTGTATTTCTTTCCTGCTGTATATAATTGAATTGCACAAGTTTATTTGGTAGTCTGGTCCTAGCCTCATCTCTTTATATTAACTGAAATTTACAGAGTAACTACATTATAAATTAGTAGGAAAGGAGTTATATACTAAAATATTGTAGATCAAGTACTATTTACATTCAACAAATGAATATAAAAGCAACAAAAATATTGTTAAATATTTTCTACAAATTATCTACAAAGTCAACTACAAAAAAACTACAATAGCTGGAGCTGACATAATAACTAGATTATAATTCAGCTAGAAAGAAGTTATATGCTAAAAATAATGTATATCAGTTATTGTTTACATTCAACAAATTGAATTTAAAAGCAACAAAATATTTAATTACTAATTTTTACACTTTATCTATAGTAAAACAACAAAATAACTACATATTTTTGCGTTGACAGAATAACTGTATAAAAATTCAGTTGGAATGGATTTATATGCTAAAATAATGAAGATCAAGTACTGCAAACATTCAACAAGTGAATATAAAACCAACAGAATGTTTCCATTTGAACTACTATATTGGATAAGAAAAAAACAAAGGCTACTATAATTGTAGCGCAAGTCTGCTACAATTAACACACAACAATAATTGTTCCAAAACTTGTCTACCATCTTTCTTCTAAACTAGCATAAACTAAACAATTGTACTACATGTTCCATACAAAACATTACAACTACTTTTTCTTCCTCTAGACTCATATTTTCTCATTCAAAGCCGGTGTACATTTTCTCCTTGCCAATTTGCCTGTCACCTCACTTTCACTAATTGCCCCATGCTCCTACTTCTTTCTAGCATAGTCCCAAAGTAGCGCTCCATAGCGTCTATGATATTGGTCAATATCAGAAAGGTCTTCTACCGGAATTGATAACTCTCCAAAACTAACATACTCTGCAAAGGCAGCAACAAATACACCACAATCGCTGCAAAGATAAAAAATATCAATATTTACCAAACGATTAGAAAAAAAGGGTTAAATGTATAGAAAGAACGAAGATTTAGTTACAGTG